ATCCGCCGACAACAGACGGCGTTGGACACAAAAAATGCTCCTTACCTCTTTACCTGTTACCCCTCCCCTAACGGACTGTTGGACACAAAAAATGCTCCTTACCTCTTTACCTGTTACCCCTCCCCTAACAGGGCCACAATTTCAGACTGTTGCGGGGGGGGGGGGGGGTCCACGTACCACGCGGTGATTCGAAGACGCTTCACTAAATCTGTTCATTGCGCGGGCTTGCGCAACTCAGTTTGTCAAAAACATTGGGGTGTTCGATTCCCCCCGGGTGCGCTTTCGCATCCTTAGCAGCTCCAGCGGCACATCGCCAGCATCACCTGCATCATCCGCATCAGCGCCTGCCAAGGATGCGGATGATGCAAGTGATGCTGGGGATGTTGCCCATGCTGGTGAAGGAAATGAAGGGGGGAAAGGGGGAAAGGATCTGCGAAAGGGGGGCGAAAGATCTCAGGGAGGAAAGGGAGAAGATCTGGGGAAAAAATGCCTTAGGGGGGAAAGGGGGGAAAAGATCTTTGGGAGGAAAAGGGAAATCTTTCTCGGGGGGAACAGGCCCTAAGGGGCAATGGGGGGACAGGATCTCAAATGGGAAAGGGGGAAAAAGACTTTGGGAAGAGAAGGGTGGAGATCTTGGGGGGAAAAGGCCTTAGGGGGGAAACGGGGGAAAGGATCTTAAGCGGGAAAGGGGGGAAAAGATCTTAGGGAGGCAAAGGGAGACGAACTCAGGGAAAAGGACTTAGGGAGGAAAGGGGGGGAAAGATCTTTGGGAGGAAAAGGGAGAAGAACTGAGGGTGGGAAAGGCCTTAGAAGGAAAAGGTGGGAAATAAATGATCTCAACAGGGAACTGGGGGGGGGGAAAGATCTTAGGGAGGAAAGGCAGAAGATCTGGGGCAAAAAGGGGAGAAATGATCTCAACAGGGAAAGGGGTGGAAAAGATCTTAGGGAGGAAAGGGGGAAGATCTGGGAGAAAAGGACTTAGGGGGGAAAGCCCAACAGGGAAAGGGGGGAAAAGATTTAGGAAGGAAAAGGGAGAAGCTTTAAGGGGGGGGGGGGGGAAAGGCCTTAGGGGGGAAAGGGGGACAAGGATCTCAGCAGGGAAAGGGGGGAAAGAAAGATCTTGGGGAGGAAAGGGGGAAGATCTGGGGACAAAGGCCTTACGGGGGAAAGGGGAGAAATGATCTCAACAGGGAAAGGGGTGGAAAAGATCTTAGGGAGGAAAGGGAGAAGATTTGGGGGAAAAAAGGCCAACAGGGAAAGGGGGGAAAGATCTAAGGAAGGAAAAGGGAGAAGCTCTCAGGGGGGGGAAAGGCCTGAGGGGGGAAAGGGTGGGAAGGATCTCAACAGGGAAAGGGGGGAAACAATCTTAGGAAGGAAAAGGGAGAAGATCTGGAAAGGCCTTAAAGGGAAGGGGGGAAAGGATCTCAACAGGGAAAGGGGGCAAAGGATCTTAAGGAGGAATAGGAAGAAGATCTCAGCGGGGGGAAAGGCCGTAGGGGGGAAAGGGGGGAAAGGATCTCAACAGGGAAAGGGGGGAAAGATCTCAGTGAGGAAAGGGAGAAGGTCCCAGGCAGGGAAAAGGCCTTAGGGGGGAAAGGGGGAAAGGATCTCAACAGGGAAAGGGGGCAAAGGATCTTAGGGAGGAAAAGGGAGAAGATCTGAAAAGGCCTTAAGGGGAAAAGGGGGAAAGGAGCTCAACAGGGAAAGGTGGGAGAAGATGCTAGGGAGGAAAATGGAGAAGATCTCGGGGGGAAAGGGGGAAAGGATCTCAACCAAGGGAAAAGATCTTGGGGAGGACAAGGGAGAAGATCTCAGGGGGGGAAAGGCCTTAGGGGAAAGGGGGGAAAGGATCTCAACAGGGAAAGGGGGCAAAGGATCTTAGGGAGGAAAAGGGAGAAGATCTTGGGGGGGAAAACGCCTTAGGGGGGAAAGGGCGGGAAAGGATCTCAACAAGGAAAGGGGGGAAAAGATCTTAGGAAGGAAAAGGGGGAAGATCGCGGGGGGAAAAAAGGCCTTAGGGGGGAAAGGAGGGAAAGGATCTCAACAGGGAGAGGGGGGAAAACATCGTAGGGAGGAAAAGGGAAAAACTCAGAGGGAGAAAGGGCCTTAGGGGGGAAAGGGGGAATGGATCTCAACAGGGAAAAATGGCAAAAGATCTTAGGGAGGAAAAGGGAGAAGATCTCAGGGGGGGAAAGGCCTTAGGGGGGAAAGGGGGGAAAGGATCTGAGCAGGGAAAGGGGGGGAAAGATCTTAGGGAGGAAAGGGAGAAGATCTGGGGGCAAAGGCCTTAGGGGGGAAAGGGGAGAAATGATCTCAACAGGGAAAGGGGTGGAAAAGATCTTAGGGAGGAAAGGGAGAAGATCTGGGGGAAAAAAGGCCAACAGGGACAGGGGGAAAGATCTAAGGAAGGAGAAGCTCTCAGGGGGGGAAAGGCCTCAGGGGGAAAGGGTGGGAAGGATCTCAACAGGGAAAGGGGGGAAACAATCTTAGGAAGGAAAGGGGGGGGGAAGATCTTAGGGGGGAAAGGGAGAAGATCTGGGAGGAAAGGACTTAGGGGGGAAAGCCAAACAGGGAAAGGGGGGAAAAGATCTTAGGAAGGAAAACGGGAGAAGCTCTCAGGGGGGGGAAAGGCCTTGGGAGGGAAAGGGGGGGGAAAGGATCTCAACAGGGAAAGGGTGGGAAAGATCTCAAGGAGGAAAGGGGGGGAAGATCTTAGGGAGGAAAGGGAGACGATCTGGGAGAAAAGGACTTAGGGGGGAAAGCCTAACAGGGAAAGGGGGGAAAAGATCTTCGGAAGGAAAAGGGAGAAGCTCTCAGGGGGGGGGGGAAAGGCCTTAGGGGGGAAAGGGGGAAAAGGATCTCAGCAGGGAAAGGGGGGGGGGAAGATCTTAGGGAGGAAAGGGAGACGATCTGGGGACAAAGGCCTTAGAGGGGAAAGGGGAGAAATGATCTCAACAGGGAAGGGGTGGAAAAGATCTTAGGGAGGAAAGGGAGAAGATCTGGGTAAGGAAGGAAAAGGGAGAAGCTCTCAGGGGGGAAAGGCCTTAGGCGGGAAAGGGTGGGAAGGATCTCAACAGGGAAAAGGGGGGAAGCAATCCTAGGAAGGAAAAGGGAAAAACTCAGAGGGAGAAAGGGCCTTAGGGGGGAAAGGGGGAATGGATCTCAACAGGGAAAGGTGGCAAAAGATCTTAGGGAGGAAAAGGGAGAAGATGTCAGCGGGGGAAAGGCCTTGGGGGGGAAACGGGGAAAGGATCTGAGCAGGGAAAGGGGGGGAAGATCTTCGGGAGGAAAGGGAGAAGATCTGGGGGCAAAGGCCGTAGGGGGGAAAGGGGAGAAATGATCTCAACGGGGACAGCGGTGGAAAAGATCTTAGGGAGGAAAGGGAGAAGATCTGGTGGAAAAAAGGCCAACAGGGAAAGGGGGGAAAGATCTAAGGAAGGAAAAGGGAGAAGCTCTCAGGGGGGGGAAAGGCCTGAGGGGGGAAAGGGTGGGAAGGATCTCAACAGGGAAAGGGGGGAAACAATCTTAGGAAGGAAAAGGGAGAAGATCTGGAAAGGCCTTAAAGGGAAGGGGGGAAAGGATCTCAACAGGGAAAGGGGGCAAAGGATCTTAAGGAGGAATATGGAGAAGATCTCAGCGGGGGGAAAGGCCGTAGGGGGGAAAGGGGGGAAAGGATCTCAACAGGGAAAGGGGGGGAAAGATCTCAGGGAGGAAAGGAAAAAGATCCCAGGGAGGAAAAGGCCGTAGGGGGGAAAGTGGGGGAAAGGGAGGAAAAGAGAAGGCGGAAAAGGCCTTAGGGGGGAAAGGGGGGAAAGGATCTCAACAGGGAGAGGGGGGAAAACATCTTAGGGAGGAAAAGGGAAAAAATCAGAGGGAGAAAAGGCCTTAGGGCGGAAAGGGGGAATGGATCTCAACAAAGAAAGGGGTGGAAAAATCTCAGAGGGGAAGGGGGCAAGGGGACAATTCCAAAGGGACGCAAATAAGAAAGCAGGCCTGTAATGTCGGCGGCCTGAGCCGGAGGCGTTAAAATATATATATGTACACGTGCTGAATAAACAATATATGTATATGTATGTATAATATTGTCATGCAACTTTGGCCGAGGTGCTTTTGGAGGTGCTTCGCGTGCGTTCCAGCATGAGGTTGCAACATGGGATCATCTGTCGAAGGTGCGAAGGTCATCGATTTGAAGGACTGCGTAGATTCCTCTGAGCGCCATGCGGCGTGTGCATGTGTCAATCTTTCTGGACGTTTTCCAGATCCCCTGCTGAAAGTCCATATTTTAGTGGTGTGGAAACTACCACTAAGCCCTAAAAAACTAAGGGGGTGGCTGGGAACCACTATTTTCTTGGAGTTGAAAAACCGAAGCCAACCTCAAAAAGAGGAGACCAAGAGGAAAACCGAAGCCATTTTGGGGCCCAACCTCAGAAAACCGCCGGGGCCTCCGCGCTTGTAAAAACCAACAGTCTAGCAACTACAAGTAGCATCTTCTTTGGCACAAGCCACCCTCTCCATGAACATCCAAAAATAAACCCAAATATGTGGCCGTGCCGCATGTGCCATAAACTTTGGGTCAGAGTCTTGGTTTCCTCGGATCCCTAATGGAGCTTGCAAAGCTTGAAGGTTGACCATCCCAAAAAGTGTTGACATTACTTTCATTTGAGCTTGCCAACCAAGCCTATGCTGGGTTGCTCATGTTGCAGAAAACCTCCCAGCAAAAGCTCGATCACCTTGTGTAGGTTCAATGAGAACGTCATTCCCCGAGAGCTGGTTCCTGGCGCATGGCCCCTATCCGAAGCCATACCTCAATCCCGGGACAAAGAAAAAGGTTGCTGAAAACTCCAACGAAATCCCAGCTGGTGGTATAGGTCGGATAGGCCATGACTCCCGCTAAACTCTCTTCAGCTGGGCCGCCTCATTGAGCGGTTTGCGTCGGCCAAACGTGTGCTTTTTTGCCCAATCGATTAAAGGAGTCAAAACGTGACTGGGAGCCAAGACACTTCGTAGTCGATGGACCGTTGGCAACGTCGCCGCCCTTGGCGATCCTCGCGCGAGTCATCTGTCGAAGCCCAGCGCTAAGCTCGAAACAGGCCGATGTTGTTTTTTCTTGCTTTTTCTTTGCGAAGAGCAAATCCAAGGGCTTTGTCCATGTAAAAGTCAGTGGCCCGTCGCAACTGACAAATGGGGGGAAAGCCCAAGACTTTGATAATCTCTTCCCCCTAATAAATCCGGACCCCCCCCCCCCCCGCTTTTGGTAAATCAGCCTCGGGACGAAACATATTTATGAACAGGGATCCTTACATTATACACCTGAACATTGCCTTCTCAATGGTGGTTTGCCCTTGTTTTGGTGGAAAAAGCCATGTTTCAAATGGGCAACATGTGTCTTTTAAGGAGCCCCGATGAATATAGGGGGAATAGAGATTGAAACGCGCACACACGAGGAAACCTCAATGTGTCCAGATGCCCAGCAAGCTCCTGGAGGAGGACAAGACGGTCATGGTCAGAGCCTTGCGCGCGAACTCGGCTTGCTGAAACGTGGGGCGCCAAACATTGCCCAACATACACAGGACTCCTATCAACCACACGTCAACACAACCAACACACCAAACACAAACAGCACCCAAAGGGTCCAAGTACCTCATGAGGATGGCTTTTGTGAGTAAAAAGGGGTCCACGTACCTCCTTAGAAGGTACTTGGAACCTCTGGGGCAACTTGTGTGACCTCTTCGTTTGCAGTTTCTCGCTCCCTCTGGATGTGGGGGGACGCTGAGCAACTTTTCCGGACTTTCCGACGCGCGCGATCGGCCGCATGTATTTTGCAGGCCATTTTGGCTGCCGCCCGTTTTGCCGGGTGAGGTCACGGAGAGCGTGTCGGGAAATAGTGTTTCGGACCGCGAAAAAGATTCGCAGGTTTGTGGTTGTCGGCGTTGCGACACAGACCCAATCGCCGGCCCATTTGTCTCCAGCGAGTTTTGTTTTTGGTTTCTTTAAAAAGGAAACGCAGGGCGTACCCATTGGTGTGGAGGGTGTGACTGTGTGTGCGTGTGGCTTCCTCTTGCCGGAGGCAAGTTCTGGTGAGGTCGTGGAGAACGCCGAGGCTAAAGCCTGAATCAGTGGGGGTCGGGAATAAACTTTTCGGGCCGGAAAAGTTGCGCCGAGTTGCGGTGATTTTGTCAGAAGCCTGTTGTATGACAAAGGGGGCCCAACCGTCGGCCCATTTGTACCCAGCGAGTCTTGGTTGTTTGCTCAAAGAAGAATGCCGGATGTGCCCATTTGTCTTTTTTGCGATCCCTCATCTTCAGTTCGGAGGAAGCCAGAAAACCCCGCTGTTAGAGAGATCCCCTGCGCTAAGTCACTGCCTTTGTACACGCCAAGTCATTGTTTGGGGTTCCTGGTGCAAGATTTCACCATTCACGGCCAAGGACCCCCAGCCCTGAGCTTTTCCGGGACAGAAATGCTTTCCTGCGTCTTCAGGCCGCACGAAAGACTCCAAGGGCTCGGTTCTCCCCTGGACCACCCACCTACATGGACTGACTGCTTGTTTCCAGCACAAACACTCCACTCTTGCGGTTGGTCTTCAAGGCTCACGAGAAGCTTCGTCTTGTAAAATATGTTTCTGTAAACCGCACGTGGGAGAAACTTTTCTAATCCCAAAAAGTGTCTTCCCACAAGGGCCGCCCTTTCATGAAATGAACCCAACGGTCAAACGGTCAAACAGAGGTTGTCTGAGCTTGAAAAGTTGCTCACTGAGCGGGCCCCTTTCCTGAACTGATTGCGAAACACCCATTCCAGCAGTCTGATCCCATTTTCGCACCCAGGAGCATTGCGCGGACAAACAAACGTATCCTAACAATCTAAACAAAAACAGGTCTGACAAACGGAGCCTCCGGAAAGCTTACGACTCGTGACTCATGCATACAGGTTGCGCAGGACCTTCCGATCGCCTACGTATCTCGCAAAAATGCCTACAGCTGCAAGCCAAACTTTCACGTTTCATCTAATTAATGTCATCTGTGAAGGTTCTTTTTCGACGCTCAACTGGGTTCTCATGGCCCATTGCATTGCCCGCGCCCCCAGCCTGAAGTAGGCATGATGTGTTGGACAGGACTGGTGCTAGCGCCGCAGCCCATCTCCTCGGGTCAAGACTGGAAATCGCGACGCGCGTTTGCCGTTCAAGCATGCGCAAGTCGCACGGTGCGTCGCCTGGGGTGGATCGAGGTATTTCTGAAGAATGTGCCGAGGCCTGAGGCTCCAGCAATCGATGCAAATCATAACCCTACGCTGATAAACTCGGAGCGGCGGATGGCGGCATCTTTTCGTTCGCAAGGCCATCAAAACTCCAAACCGCGAATGCACCAAATGCAGTCCCAAGCATCGGTGACCTTTCGACAATAGATGGCCCTGGTAAATGAAATGAAACCAATCTAAACCAGTCGAACCCATCAATTTCTATCCAAACTAAACCTAAAATGGACACCCATGGTCCCAAAATGTCCCAACACGAATCCTGCAGTCTGCAACACCCATGCGCCCAAGTTACGTTGCCCAGCCTCCAACTCCATCCTCCGAGGCGGCCTGGTGTTTCACGGCGAAACAGGTGCTCAGGTTCCGTGCCAAATAGAAACCTTTTGCAAGTTCGAGGTAAGGATCCATCCCTGAATTTGGTTTCCATTCAAATGGAACATGAAAGTCAGCATGCAACGCATGCCCTCACTGAAACGGAGTGGTTGGGAATGAGGAACAGCACCATAGGAGGAACTTGCCCAAGAAATGGTAAGGTTTCATTTAAAACACTGCCACGAAGAAACAGATCACCTCGTTGTCTGTCTTCTGTCTGCTTAGAATCTATTCTCACTCATTGTTGCAGTTCAAAACTGCTACACAGTAGTATGTTTGGAGAAATACATATAAAAAACTACTACACATTAGCGTGTTTGGAGAACTGCATATAAACAAAGAGCGATCCATGCTTATTTTATTTCTACAATCATAACTTACGGTTGTCTTGTTGTGTTCCAGAGTTAAACCAACTAATATCATTGTAGTTTCAAATAGCAAATAAATTGTTTGCAGTGATTTTATCGAATACCATTGATACAGTGACATGTGTGTGTCATTTTATCTTTACCGTGTATCCGGTGAATAATATGTCTATCAGCCTAATAACAATCTAGCAATATATGTTATTGTTCATATTAGACTTCTTTCACATAATGCATCAATATGTCCGTTTTAAACCAATGCCATTGGTGTAGTGGATTTGTCACCACGAAATATGTATATATATATATATATATTTTGTATAAGTGCTTTCTGCTTGCCACATTAAATGTGGGGCAAGTGTCTTGCTTTAGAACAAATTCAACGTGAAATCAAATACCAAACAAACAGCGTAATAAGCCTTCAACTCTATTAAAATAATTACATCCCTGTATGTTGTGCTATGTGTTCTGCTATTTCACGACCACATGCACATGTTTGTCAGAGAGAGAGAGAGAGACAGAAAAAACAACACATGAGTTAATGGCTGAAACTTGCGTCCCCTAGTTCCCCCAAACATGAAAACACGAAAGCAACAATATGGGTGTGTCGCAAAATGCGGGACCCCGAAATATTTGGTTCCCTTTTGGCTGCCCTAAACACTATGCCCATATCCGGCGACTCCTCCTGGCAGTTACCTTCCACCTGCAAAAGCTTGGGGTGCCAACTCTTGCAAAACTCTGCCTGAGCAAGGTACACCAAGCGCGCTTTGGAGACTCCAAGGCATAATAAATCCTCAACACGTCTTTCAGCATATGATATATCAAGGTCTGCCCTTGTTCAATAATAACGCGCAACATCAACGACACGAGAGCGGCAATAAGACAATATGGGCGCGCTTAAAAATCTGTCCGCCAACAGACAATTAATCATTCTACTACCCAACTTGCCACTCTTAAGCTTGTTTTCACCTCCCTGACAAAGTGTCACCCCTTGGCCCCTTGGTATACGCTTTGCATGAAGTTTAAAGGCGTAGTGTCTCCCGAACAGGCGCAGCTTCATACCCAGAGGGTCCCGTGGAAAGGCAAAAGGGATGCAGTACCCCCTGAAAGGCAAGAAGGGACCCTCATAGCTTCCGAACAAAACTACCGGGATATGGAAAACCTCCGACGACCCAGCCCCGCTGACCCTGCCTGGGCAATGGCAATTGATCCACCTGGTGAACTCGGGGCGTGTCTGATTCGTGACGAAAACACAAGCACTAATGTTGACACCATATCATATCAATCAACCCCAGTTTATTGATAGGGGGTGATCCCCTCCAAAAGCGATGGTTCCCCACTAAACTCAGGGGCACCCCCTATGTTGATTCATATGGGGTCAACATATTATGACAACATTAATCTGAGTTTGACAAAAACTTCCGGTGCTTTGCTTGGTCAGCTGGTCGCACAAGGAGTGCACATGCCGGGTTTAAAGCTCTTACGACCCTCTAGAGAACCCGAAGAGGTATATGATGCCTCCCGTGCGATTCTCTTTCAAGCCATCCACCAAGTGGGTCCTTGATGTTAAGGAGCACTGAAGACCGTGCAGTGGCCCGACGTCTCAAGATCCCCACCCTCCCATCCCCCCGTTTTGCGGGTTTTGACAAGTCTAACTTTCATTGTCCCATGGCAAGTGCCTAGAAGTAGAAGCTGTACTCTCTCAGGCACGCGCAACTTGTAATGCTACGACGTTCTGATTTGAGGGACTTGTTGCATGGGGCCTGGAACATCTAATACGAGAAAGCCGGGAGAATGTCTCCAGTCTCAGTGGATTCAACTTGCGGGAGCAGCAACCAGTGGTTTTTTTGCATGCATTAAGGCGCGCGGCGCAGGTGTCGTGATGCTACGGCAAGCGCAACGAACCTTCTCGGCCCCCGGCCATTGGTGGAAGGTTCGCCGCCTGACTTGTGGCAAGCAAAAGAAGAAGGCGATCGGGCGAAGGCAAACGTGGACAGTGCAAGACATCGCCCCAAACAGATTGAATACTCAAGCTCCAGCCCTGAAGACTCTCTCATGCCCAGAAGGAGGCCGTTCAATGTGAAGCTTCATGTCCAAACTCGGGGAAGGGTGGCTTAAATGTGTTGAAGCCATCTGACGCTGTTTGATGTTGAAGCCGTGTGTCATGGTCAGAGAGAACGCAACGCCTGCCCCAACTGCAAGTTGATTCATGGGCCCTTTCAAACCAAATGCGCATGCCACCACCCAATTGCAACACAATACCCATGCAGCCTATGGCATCTGTTTTCCCCCTCTATCAATAGCCCCTCGGCCAATACGGCAAAGATCGGCAAACCATGACAAGCTATTTTGTCAATCGGCTGGAAAATGAACATAACGCCAGAATCACATTCTCCAAAGAACCGAGGTCAGACCCTTGGCATGTTCCTCCGACCTTGAAAACCCAAGAGCCAGGCACACGAAGTGACCAGGGCTCGGAATTTTGGCGCCTGCAATTCCATCTCGAGCTGGTAGTCCAAGGCATCCAAGGTATCCATGGTGCTGGTCGAGCTGCTTTCTTCTTCTGACCTATGAGGTGATCCAGCTCCGAACGGAACAAAATCAAGGACTCTCCCACAAAAACACATCTGCCCAAGAGAGGGCCCTCTGATAGGACTGCTCTCCCGTACACGTTGCCGTGGAACCGTTCGACGTTTCGGGGGCCTGGAGGCTTTTCTTGGAACGGGAGCCCTTGTTGGTGAGTTTCATGGCAACGTGGACAGGAGGTTCATTTCTTTTATCTTCCCTGGGCCGTCCATTTTCAATTCCCCCGCCAAAAGTCTAACTTTCATGAAAATCCAACGACTAAGCACTGAAAAGCATCGACAACAGCCCATAGGCTCTCGTAGCTGTGGCCCCGGCGACTCTGAGCTCAAGTCCCGTGCCTACGGACGGGTGTAAAGCGCCCGACACGGACTCAAACTCTGCTGTGCGCTCAGCTGAATTCATGAGTGGATTGGCCAAGCAAAGTCTAAACTTTTGTGCAAGCCACTTAAATGGTCCAGATTCGAAAAGCGACTCTATTTACAAGTAGAGTCCAGGAACTCAGGGAGTGAGGCTTTGCGCTCCAGGTTGCTTTGGAAGCACGGGCGAAATGAGCCGATCCCAAGGCTAGCCAAATTGAAAGGCGGGTGCGGCTTCCATCGGCCATTGCCGGTCTGGCCTTAAGAGTCCAGAATTCAGCAGTGAATACAGAGGTGACCTTAGCCTTCAGGGGATCACACAACAGACCTCGGGCTACTCGCCAAGAGTACTCAAATTTGCTGCCCAAACGATCCAAGCCCCTGATTGATGTGGGATTTGTCGATCAGGGCCGATCGAATGCCAACATCAATGCAAGTTCAAGAAGAAGGCCTGCTTTCTGCCAAACCTAGCTCCATTTGCTGTGGATAGCTGAGGAACCCGCGGAATGTGTGAAGCCAAACGCAGAAGAATCGGCATCATTGGCGCGGTATGCCATGAGCTCCTGTCAGTCGGGGCCAGGATAAAACGAGGGCCAATGCTCGAAAAAATCATCCGCCATACTGTGGATGGACAAAATCCTGCACCACCTAAGAATCCCTGGAATGATGATTCCCCATCAAATACCAACAAACAATGGCAGTGGTGCAGGATTTTGTCCATCCACAGTATCAAACACACGTGCTACGGACTACAAGATGCTTTTTCTCCGAGCACGATCCGAACTACGCACAGAAGCGGTGATTGATACAAACCAGGGGCGAGCACCAAACTGCTTCAAACGATCTCAAATGCTAGGAACCATGGGTGTCCTTTTGCGGGGAAATAAATGCAACAAATAGATGATTAAACCACCAGGTAAACCAGTGCCATCTATTGAGCAACCAAAACAACCAAAAAACACCTATGCTAGGGATGTGTTCCTTGATTGCATGAACGCCTATAAAGCCAACCGACAAAGGCCTGCGCTCTCACAGATCCGGAGATGTCAATAAACGTTGCAGCGTTGCGTTGTCCCCATACTAGTGGACAAAGCCGCAAATAGATTGGTTTTCCTTCGGCGCTTTGTTAAAATCAATCAAAACGGTTCCAAACAGATTTTTCTAATCCAGGCTACATGCCGATCCAAGCTGGTGAAACCAAGTGCAACAAATTGACAGGTGCAAGCTTGAGAAGCTGCCATGTCATGTATCAGGCCGATTTCTCCACGTTCAGATCCCCTGGAAGTGACTAACTGTTGGTGGGCTAAGTTTGGAATGCCCACAAAACACTTGAAAACCAATCCTGGTAGCCACTTCACCTTTGGTCACCCTTGACCAGCCCCCGCCTGTGGCAAAAACAGGTCCATCCGAACCTAAGATGCAGTCAGTGGATTTGTCCTTCACCTTTGG